TATGCGTGGTCGTAGCAGCATGAGGAGTTTCGTCATCGCTTCCCGGCTGGTCTTTCTTGGGTGCATTTTTCTTTGACGGTTCCGGCGGACGGGCGACGGGAGTTTGTGTCGATGCGAGGATGGAGCCGATAAGACGAGAGAGCGACCGTCGGGTAGGTTTATCGGTGTTATCAAACGACTTGACGCAAGTCGTGATTATTTGTTCGATTTCTTGAGGGGAGCGCAGGTGGCCAAGATGGATATGGAGGGCTAACAATGCCTACACATGGGAATTGAGTACTTGCCATCACCAAAATAACACACTCGACCTACCTCGGCAGCACCCCTCTGCAAAGCCATCGACTTGTCTGCCAGACACGACCGAAGTTGTTTGACAAAATCCTTGATCGCGTTTTCCGTGATTGCTTTACCCGCGGTGGAAATAGTGCCACAAACGGCTCGGAGAGCGTGAGTACGAAGCAGAATGCTCTGCAGCACACATCTCAGATTGCGCTTCAAATTGATAATGGAGTGCACCCACATTACTTGACGACTTGATTATCCTAGTGGCGATCAGCGCAATCTCCATCGCAAACGACATGAGCTAACAAAGCATGTCAGTCATCTCCATATATCCAAACAATTACCTGTATACCTGGGACCCATGTACAGCCATGATTTCCCCCACACAATACAATGCCGACCTAAGAAAAGATAAGACGCATAATGTATCGTTTCGGATAACCACTCACACTCGGGCGTCCCGCTCGGGAACTTTAGTTTCCCCAGCTATCTTGAGACAGGCTTGCACCGTATCGTACAAGGTTCGGGTTTCCCCGCGAGAGTAAAGCACAAGGAAGCATCGGGCGACAAGTGCGCGAATGGGGCGGCCGGGCACTGGGAACGGGGGCGTAGCGGCGACGCATTTCAGAAGGATACTTTCGGTAGCGGACTGTGTGGACTTGATCGTCTCCTGTACCCTCATGTTACTAGACCGCGTCATAACAAAGTTGATATACGGACCACTGGTAGCTTCTGCAGTGCCTTCTCTGCCGAGCATAACCATTGCAACAAATAGATTTCGCCATTCTCTCCCGCTAGTTTGCCCTATCAAAGAATGATTTTAGTTTAAATAGTATTTCAGTTCCATCGAAGCGTACCTCATCGAGACTTAGATCGTTCTCGGAGACCATTGTCGTTGACCGTAGCAAGGACCAGGCATAACAGGTGTAACATATAACCGGCACGTGAGGCTCGCGGCATCCAATCGCCGAATGAAGCAAATGGGACAATTGCTCAACTATATTGATTTTGTTACCTTTTCAATTAGGCAGCTGTGATTCCACACTAAAAATACTGAGGAAAAACCGACCGATGCAGGACTCGAACATGCAATCTCCAGCTGCGGCCAAAACCGGAAACTGGCGCTTTACCATTAAGCCAACCGGCCTCGCTCGTTCTCCCACAATCATACCCGACTGGCACACGCTGGCTCAAACAAGACCCGTCTTCAAAGCAAGATACTTCATGACATTTAATAACAATAAATCTACGCCGCAGGATACAGAGTTGCCAATGTTCTCGAAATGATCATCCGCTGAATCTGGCTCGTCCCTGCATGTAGCTCTAATCAGTATATGTACCGCCAAACAGCCCACAAACGCACCCTCGTACAACTCGAATATCTTACTGTCCCGGAACAGCTTCTCGACCGGATACTCGGTATTGTACCCCGCACCTCCGAAAACCTGGACGGCGAGGTTGGCGTTTTCGACCGCCGTGCGGGAAGCCATGGTCTTGGCCATGGATGCGTACAATGCTAAGCATAATCGAATCAGCGACGAGTCTCGGCGGCCGAAACCACGACTCACTATTTCTCTGACCCGCGTCCTTGGTCCAGGCCGCTTTCCAGACGAGCGCGCGCGAAGCCTCGGTTTGAATCGCCATGTCGGCGAGCATGAAAGCGACGGCTTGGTGTTGAATTATGGGCACACCCATGGTCTGAATCAGCCGGTCAACGAGTCAACCTAATTCAGAACATGAGCCTGGACCCACCTTGCGAGTTTGGGCGTACAACGTCGCCTCTTCAAGCGCTCGCTGGGAGAGTCCAACGGCTGCAGCGGCCACCAACGGTCGAGTAATGTCAAATGCCTCTGTTCAACGTGGAAAACCATAGTTAGCGGGACCTAAAGAATACGTAGAGAAAGTACTAACTCATGGCAATCTTGAATCCTTCTCCAGGCGCACCAATAACGTTCTAAAAACGGACCATCAATGCGCCGCCCAACACAAGTAGAATCCCGCTTACCGACTCAGGAACCTCCACATCCTCAAACGTCACCATCCGAGTATCCGAACATCGCTGGCCCATATTAATTTCCTTCTTCCCCAAGCTAATCCCGTCCGAGTCGGCCTCGACGACAAACCCAGTCATCCCGCGCGAGGCAGGCTGCGAGCTGTCTGTGCGAGCTAGAACAAAGAACCAGTTGGCGTGGCCGGCGTTGGTGATCCTATGCAGGTTGGTGTCTCGCTCAATAATACAGACCAGTTAGATGGACATACCACATCTTAGTTCCGTTGAGAATCCACTTGTCCCCCTTCTTCTCCGCTTTGGTTGAGATATTGGCAACATCGGACCCCGCTCCAGGCTCTGTCTATGATCCAACGAGGATCGAGTGGAATGAAAGCGCCCCATTCAGAACGTGATAACCTCTCACGCAGCCCACACTCACCACACAGTAGGCAGCCACCAACGGCGCCTCGGTCATGCGGCCAAGAAACTTGCGCTTCAGCTCCTCGCTGGCCGCAACAATCAACGGAGCCTGGGCAAGCCCATTGGCTTCGATCGCCGTCTGAATTCCCGTACAGCCATACGCAAGTTCTACGACAAAAGATTGAATGACCGATACAGTGGAGCAGCGGGACCGAGCTGATTACCTTCAGATATAAGCGCACATTCGAGTAGACCGAGGCCGGGTCCGCCGTACTAACGTTTGGACGTGTCAGAGTAGCAAGCGGCAATGCGAGAGAGACGTACATCCTCGGGTATATGTGTGTTGAGCAGCCCCACACTATGTGCCCTCTTGATCACTGGCCACGGGTATTGCTGTAATTCGGCAACGTCAACAGGGGAACCAGTCCACACATATCTACCCACCATCGAACGGTCATACTGCGCAGCGACGGGAACAATGTTCTCCCGCGTAAACTTGCGTGCCAGGTCTGCACAAGTCGGACATGCTCAGCGGGATCGTCATAACGACTCGACAAACGCACCTTGAATACCCGCCTGCTCCTCGCTCAAGCCGAACCCCACGACCGACTGGGCTTGCGTAGCCATTGCCCGTGACTGGGTGCTGGCTACACGCCGAAAGACATTTGGCAGAGTGCGGAGGGGGTTCATGGCGGTGGTCGTCGCTGGTAGCTGACCATATCGGGTTTAACGGCGGCCCGGGGATCGTCTTTCACATGGCACTTTGATGAACACGTGCCCGCTAAAGTGTATCTTATCGCGAATTCACGCATTCGTTCAGATGACACAACGACATAAATACAGCAAAAATACAAGTCTATTCCTCGGTCTCTTCGTAATCGTGGTGAGTGTCGTCCGCCGCAGGGAAACCTTGCGAGGCGGCAGCTTGGTGCTAGAGGGGAATGAGTACGCATTAACCAATCCGGACACCCAACTTGCCTGTCTGAGTTTGGCAAGATATATCTTCAGCGTCGCCTCATAGTCGTCAAACCCCAGACTCGTCATCGCGTACAGAATATCTTCGCCACCAATGGTTTTGCGCTTCTCCATGAAGCATTTCTCCGCAGCCTCGCTCGTAATGAAGCTGATCAGCTCGGACACACACTCTTGCAGACATTCCTTGGCGTCTTTTGCAATCTTTGCGTTTTCCGGAATAGCCGCCTTCATAATCCGTGCGACATTCGCGATCTGCACACGCAAGACTCAGTCGCGAGACATCCAGCGCATAGTGATAGTACTGACCGGGAGGTACCTGTCCTGCTCCCGGTACTCGCCAACCTCCTGCTCGGTGATATTGTGCGGCTCCTCGGGCGGGGCATTCGGGTTGTGCGGGTCAATGGGCAGTACCCCGTCAACGTCCTCTGGGGTACTGGCGTTTTGGGATGTACTTGCGCCAGACATGGACGGAGGTGGAGGCTGTGGGGTCTCCACGTGATGGCGAGGCGGGTTGCTGACAAACCGATCAAACGCACATCAACAACGGCCTGATTGACTTCAGGCTGGTTGATTGACGTTTGCCTTGGTCTCCTGGCCGTAAGGAATTGTTAGGTCCAGGTGCTTCACAGGAGTCGGAAAGTGCGGTCAGCCCTAGGGGCATATATGCGACATCCTGCAACTTTGCAACCGAGCGGGGGCATCGAGTTTCGCAAGTTGGTCATGTGTTCAATTTTGCGAGCCCACCAGGCGCATACCAATAGCTTGCACACAGCCATTCGCTCCGGGATATACGACATAAACTATGTCGTGACCATCCGCATTAATTATGTTCCCGCCCACCAGAACCACCCATCATCATCAGGTTTTTAGTCGGCTGGAGAACGAACTGGACCCATGATTATTGTAAGACAATTAGTCAGTAGGTTGTAGAGACCATTGTCGACGTCGTCCGTAGCTAGGTGGTGGGGGTGCGATTCCCCTCTTTATAAACTACCGTAGTACCGAACTGTAAATTACTTTCGTCGGGGTACGCACGCATCCTTTCCGAGTCTCGTGTGCCTGCACAGGATTCCTGACCCCATGCATCAAGTGTATGGCGCCATCACGTTCCCAAGCCCCAATGGCAATCACATTGTGGCCAGCACCAGCAAAAAATATTCAGAGGGGTTCGAATCTACCTGAACTCACGACCGGATCCGAGGTCCAAACCCCTCTCTATCAACTAGTTTACTCAATCATCAGACCCAATAGATCAGCCCCACCGCTCCTGGTGATACCCGGTTTGGTTCGTCAAGCGGTGTTTACATCATAGTGGATCATAAGTGACTATATGCGTGACCAATTCTCTAGCGGTTTTCTATGAACTGGAGGAGTGTAAATGCCGGTGCTCTGTGACTCTGCGGATGGAACCCCTTTTGGTGCTGGAACCGTTAGGATTGGGAGACTGGGCGGAGGAGCCAGTAGCATATATATAGTTCCAGGTGAATATAGCGAGGCAGTTTCTCTAATAACGATGAGTGATCCGTTTTTATGTCATACTATATATGATGGAAAAGAATAATGTGTGGTGTGGCCTGTGTGAGCAGACTACGGGTTAACAACATAACACGTCTTGGCTGCCAAAACTGAAGGGTCAAAAAGCAGGACAGGGGACAGGGGCAAGCGCTAGTGACACAGACCTAAAACCGCACACAGTGAAAGGGCAGACAGGAGCAGGGACGCAAAGCGCTGAAAGCTTAGCATAGAGCTACGAAGTTGACCAGCCACACGTGATGGATTTGGTTGATCAACGACGGGCGCCTTTCATCGTTCCCGTTCTTCTTACCACATTGCCCTCGGACATCTAGGACTACTGGTATCTCTTCTAGGCCCCCAATAATTAACACCCTCAACCATCTTCACCCAGTGTACCAATATTACCCTTCGCGCCCTCAACTCTGTGCACAAACGAGAGCTCCACGACCAAGAAATACGGGCATTAACAACCAAAGCTGGCAATTTGCGGGGGCTGGTAAGCTTTTCGTAGAGCCACTCTTTATCTACCCGCATCTCGAGATGGATTCTGGCGACTGGACCCCAAAACCCCAAGACTTCGGAAGCGTGGAGGAAGTAGATCAAACTGTACGCCTTCAAATTCAACCAGGCCACAATCATTACATCCAAACTATTCTTATGCCAGAGTCAGACGCTGTACCCAATAGGGGGAGGAAAAGCGGACAAAGCGCACCACGAGGGTAGCGTTCTGGCCCGTTCCCTGGCAGGAATATTATCCGTTGATTGTGCCTTTGAGCCGACCCCCGGGTATGAAGATGAAGCCCAAACAAGATATTCAAGATACCTCCCGGATCACCCACTTACCAATTCTGCACAGAATAGAGGTATGTTCCTCTCTCTGCACTCTGACCGATCGGTTTGACTGAGCAGCCCAAGTGCCGCATCCGTTTGGTGACATTGCTGGAGAATCTTTGGAATGTAGTCACGTCGGCCTCAATATGGTTCATGATGACCGGCCCGACACCCCAGTTGGACCTCTTAGGGTTTGCGAAGATACAGTCAGTTGACATCTTCAGAATGGATAAAACAAGGCTTCGCAAAGGCTAACAATCTATCCTGCTCCTTCGTCGTCTAGCCTGTCGAGCTTGTGGCCAAACATTTCCGAAAAACAGCCCGTCTGCATGACTACACTGTTGAGCTTGAGAAAGTAGCCGTCAAGGAATCTTTTCCAATTTTCCGTAGCATGTCAGGGGACATCTACAAAATCA